CACAGGAACCGTCTAGAGTTTCTCCACCAAACCCTATACCATCCAGATTTGAAATGTATTGCTATTCTTTCAGTGTCACTTGGTCAAAATCCTGAAACTCTCTTGGGTGTATATATCCTGAGGCCTGCAACAGTTCAAGAAGGCAACTCACAACCATCTCTCAAGAGTAATTGAGGATGGGCAATAAATATGTCCCGAGGCATCAATACCAATATTCCAAGAACAAATGTTTTTAAAATAACACGGTGATATAGTCAGAACATTATGTCAAGGTCAAATGCAACACCAAGGTTGCCAGTGGCGTGGCTGAACCTTTGTTTTGGCCGAAGAATGATAGGTGAGCTGGACCTCAACAGCTAGAGAGGAAAATAGATGAGGGAACCTTTGTCACAACAAAGTGAATGAAAAGGAGACCATAAGGATTAAGAAACACCGAGAAACTGGGCTCCCCACTGCACTGAAACTTAGGGGAACTCTGCACGGTAAGGGTTAATTCTCTGTTCTTACAGGCGGGAGTCGGAGCGTAGGAACCACTCACTGGCACGTCATGCAGATATCCTGGCAGCAGTGGAGACCAGACTGTCCCTACTCAACATGACCTTCATGAAATATGTGGACACCAATCTTTGCTGCTTCATCCCTGGCAAGGTGGGTCTGCGGAGACATCAGGGAAGTAGGTGATTCGGATAACTTTCTGATCTTGGTGGTTTTAGAATCTAGCACTGCACAGTGGACTGAGAATCTTGCGTTTTTAGTGGTTAAAAATTCAGGACAGATGGAAAAGAATTGCACAACCTCAGGATCATTTAAAGCAGTGCCTGACCTTGGGACTTTTTGATATAGTAGAATAGAGAGTGCTTTACATTGTATCTAAACCCATGCTGTACCTGTCTTCAGAGTGTTTGATGGGACTGTGTAAATGGACCTTTACTCTATATCCAACATTGTGCTCTACCTGTCCTGGAAGTGCATGATAGGAACAATATCAAGGGAGCTTTACTTTCAATTTACTTAAAGTTTAAAAGAGTAAAGGAAAGTTTAATTTCAGTTTAAAAAAAGTAAAGGGAGCTTTATCTAACCCCGTGTTGTCCATGTCCAGGGAGTCTAATATGGAGACAGTGTAAAGGGACATTTACGTTCTATTTAAAACAGTAGAAAGCGTTTTACTCTGTATCCAATCCTATGCTGTCCCTATCCCAGGAGCATTTGATGGGGCTGTGTCAAAGTAACTTTACTTTCCATTTATTTCATAGTTTAAAAGAGTAGAGGGAGCTTTTAAATCTGTTTCTAAATCTGTGCTGTCCCTGCCATGGAAATTTTTGATGGGAGCAGTGTCATGGGAACTTTACTTTCAGTTTAGAAGAGTAGAGGCAGCTTTATTCATATCTAGCCTTGTGCTGTTCCTATCCTGGTAGTAAGAGATTTGGGGACAGTATTGAGTGGTCTCTACTTTCAAAGTGAGAGAATTTTACTTCCTGTTGACTTTTTTTGTTCGAAAGAGTAGAGGCAGCTTTACTCTGCGTCTAACCCTATACCTGTCCTGGGAGTTTTTGATATTACAGTATAGAGAAAGCTTTACAGCATATCTAATCTCATGCTGTAACTGTGTTTGGGAGTGTTTAATCGCAGCTTTGTAGGTGGATTTTTATATATAATGTAATGTTCTGTACTTCCTCTGAGAGTGTTTGATGGGACAGTATAGAAGGAGTTTAACTCTTGTCACAAATCCACGTTGTACTTTCCCTGAGAGTTCTATATCTGACCCTGTGCTGTACCTGTCATAAGAGTCCTGGGAATGTTTGATGGGGACAGTGTAGAGGAGAGTTCCATATTGAACCCTATCGTGGATTGTTTGATGGAGAAAGGTCAGCAGAGTCCTTGAGAGTATCTCTGTTATTCACTCCCTTACTGAGTGCTGTTACCCTTTTGTCTGTTTTGTTGTTATCTGTTATACAGGTAATCGATGAGATTTACCGGGTTCTGAGGTATGTAAACTCCACCCGGTCACCTCAGAGAGCCCACGAGGTCCTGCAGGAGCTAAGGGATATCTCCTCCATGGCAATGGAGTACTTTGATGAGAAGATTGTGCCCATCCTGAAGAAGAAGCTGAGCATTTCAGACATGTCAGGTCGTCTGCTTGGAGTCCCACCAGGTACTGTCCCAAATGCTCATAAATGCTTGATTGTGTAGACTTGGAGTGCTGGAAATTGGCCTTAGAGAATGTAGAAAAATGCCCCCAGCATATGGGGTGTGCATGGTTGACTTGGAGCATTAGACATGTGTGCAAATACGTACTTGCTACCTCCCTGAGGTCCCCAACATCACGGATGCCAGTCTTCAACCAATTTGATTCATTCCATGTGTTATCAGTAAATGGGATTGGATTCTGAAAAGTTATGGGACCTGATGACATTTCAGCGACCATGCTGAAGACTTGAGTGCCAGAATTAGCTACATCCCTCACCAAACTGTTCCAGTACAGCTACAACACTGCTATCTAACCAACTAGTGGAAAATTGCACAGGTATGTCCTGTACACAAAATGCAGGGTGAATGCAACCCAGTCAGTAATCACCCATTAAGTCTAGTCTCCATCATCAGCAAAATGATGAAAGGGGTTGTCAACAATGCTGCCAAGAGATCTGTACTCAGCAACAACCTGCTCAGTGATGGTCAGTTTGGGTTTTGCCAAGGTCACTCAGTTCCTTTCCTCATTATTTGTCCTTCATTCAAATGTGGGTATTTGAGCTGAACTCTAGAAGTGAGGTGAGGTCAAGGTCGCATTTGACTGAGACTGCTATCAGGGAACCCATAGCAAAACTGGAGTCAATGGCAATCATGGAGAAAATTCTCCTCTGGGAGTCATGCTTGACATATAGTAAAATGGTTGTGGTTGTTGGCGGTCAGTCGTCTCTGCTCCAGAACATCACTGCTGGAGTTCCTCAGTGTTGTCCTAGGCCCAACCATTTCCAGTTCTTCATCAATGACCTTCCCTCCATCATAACGTCAAAAGTGAAGATGTTTGCTGATGATTGCCAAATTCTTCTTTCACTCTTGGGACATGAGCATCACTGACTGGGCCAGCATTTATTGCCCATCTCTAATTGCCTTTGAAAAGGTGGTGGTGAGCTACTTTCTTAAACTGCTGCAGCCCATGTGCTGTTAGTGGACCCACAATGCCTTTAGGGAGGGAATTACAGGATCTTGACCCAGCTGCAGTGAAGGAATGCCGATATATTTCTAAGTCCAGACGATGTGTGGCTTGGAAGGGAACTCACAGGTGATAGTGTTCCCATGTGTCTGCTGCTCTTCTAAATGGAAGTGGTAGTGGGTTTGGAAAATGCTGAGTTAGGATCTTTGGTGAATTTCTGCAGTGCATCTTGTAGTAATACACACTGCTGCAACTGTGTGTTAGAGATGGAGGGAGTAAATGTTTGAGGATGTGATGCCAATCAAAGCAGGCTGCTTTGGTGTCAAGCTTCCTGGGTGTTGTCAGAGCTGCACTTATCAAGGCAAGTGAGCAATATGCCATCACACCCCAGACATGCCTTGTAGATGGCAGACAGGCTTTGGGAAGTCAGGAGGTGAGTTATTTGCTACATTATTCTTAGACTCTCCCCTCTTCTTGTAGTCACTATATTTATATGGTGAGTTTCTGGTCAATGGTAATCCTCACAATGTTGACAGTGGGTGATCCAGTGATGGTAACAACCATTAAATGTCAGGGGGTGGCGGTTACATTGTTTCTTGTTGTAGATTGTCATTGCCTGGTATTTGTGTGGCATGAATGTTATTTGCCACTTTTCAGCCCAACCCTGGACTGGCTATGTCTTGTTGCATTTGAACATGTACTGCTTCAGTATCTGAGCAGTTGCAAATGATGTTGAACATTGCGCAGTCTTCAGTGAACATCCAGACTTCTGAAACAAAAAGCAATCGCTGCAGAAACTCTGTAGTCTAGCAGCATCTTACCAGAGAAAGCAGAGTCAACATTTCAGATCCAGTGACCACTCTTCAGAACTGAGTGTAGCAAGGATAAGGTGGTATATATGCTGAAAATGGGTCGAGGGGGAGGTGGTAAAGGCGTAAGCGACAGGTAGAGTTGGAGCCCAGAGAGAGAGAAAACAGCAGTTTTGGCAGACAAGGTATTGGAAAATGTTGAGCCAGAGAGAAAGAAAAGCTGATGTAAAGGACCATTAGTAGATGAAAATGGGTTGGCTGAGATGAAAACAGCCCATGTAATAACAGGACTTGGGGTCTGGCTGAAGGACATGGAAGAAGGTGTTCAGGCCCTAAAATTGTTGAACTCGAGACTGAGTTCTGAGAGCTGCAGGATCCCGAAACAGAAAGTGAGATGTTGCTGTTCCAGCTTGTGCTGAGTCTCACTGGAGCACTGCAGCAGGCCTGAATCAGAAATGTTGGCCAGGGAACATGGTGGTATTTTAAGTGGCAAGCAAATGAAGCTTAGTGTCAATTTTGCAGATCGAATGCAGATTTTCTGCAAAGCAGTCACCCAGTCTACATTTTATCTCACTATTGTAGAGGAGACCACATTGTGAGCATCGAATATAGTAGAATAGATTGAGCTAAGTGCAGGTAAATCGATGCTTCAACTGGAAGTGTGTCTGCGGTCTTGATTGCATGGGAAGGTATCGTAGAGCTATACAATGTGTTAGGAGTGGAGGCAGAGTAGGCTAGGGTGTCTTGGAGGGAGCAGTCCCTGCAGGTGGCTGACAAGGGAGGGGAATATTCTCATGAGGTGGCAGAAATGGCAGCTGATATTCCTGTGGATGCAAATGCTGGTGGTGTGGGAACTGAGGACCAGGGCACCCTATAGGTGTTGTGAGAGGGAAGAGAAAAGGTGAGGGCAGAAGTGCAGGAAATGGGTTGGGTACAGCTAAGTGCCCTGTCAACCATGGTGGTGGGAAATCTTCCGTTGAGTAAAAAGATGGTCATTTCTAACGCACCCCGCCAAAGGTGGCACCATCAGGACAGATCTGATGGAGACGGAGAAACTGGGAGAATGGAATGGAGTCTTCACAGGAAGCAGGAAGAATAGACCAGATAACTGTGTGAGTTGGTTTGCAGTGGATATTGGTGGCCAGCCTGTCCTCAGAAATGGAAACAAATGTCCAGGAAGAGAGGAATCAGAGATGGACCAGGTGAAGGTGAGAGCAAGGTGAAAATCAAAAGGGAAATTGTTAAATTTTTCCAAGTCTGGACAAGATAGAGAAGCAACACTAACGATATCATCGATGTGTCACCATGCTGCACCAGTGGTTAGCATTGTTCCCCACAGCACCAAGGTTCAATTCCACCCTTGGGCAACTATCTACATGGAGTTTGCATGTTCTCCCCGTGACTGCATGGGTTTCCACTGGATACTCCGGTTTCTTCCTACAGTCCAAAGATGTGCAGGTTAGGTGGATTAGCCATGCTAAATCGCCCATAGTGTTCACGGATGTACAGGCTGGGCAGATTAGCTGTGCAGTGTTATGGGGATAGAGTGAGAGGGGTGAATCTGTGTTGAATTGAATTGAATTAGGTTTATTGTCACGTACTCAAATGAGTACAGTGAAAAGTTTACAGTCCCCTACTGCACCATCTTGGGGACAAAAGTACATAGGTACAGATTCTTAAGATCAAATTCTTAGGAAACAAAAAACATTAGAAAAGAAGTAAATTGTCCAGCATTTTAGGTCAGAGAAATAAATTAGAAAAATAAAGGAGTAAAAAGTTCAAAATATCAGTCTTTCTGACCCAGTCCATTGCCTGCACCTAGCCTCGAGGGGTCCTCCACCAACTTGCCGCCTCCTGCACTCAACCCATGAATGTAGGAGTCGTCCCACTTTAGGTGTCATCTCTTTGCCACTGGCCCCTCTTCACTGAGACCACTGAACCCACACTCACCTGTAACTAAAAGTGTAGATGCTCTTTGGAGGGTTGGTGCAGACTCAATGGGCCAAACAGCGTCTGTCTGCACTGTAGGGATTCAGTGAACCGGAGAAAGGGTTGTAGGGAGGGAATTGAGTAGGACTGGATCTTCCATGAATCCCACAAGGAGCCAGGCATAACAGGAGTTCATATAGCTACCCAAGGCTATACCTTTGGTATGAAGACAGTGAGAGGATTTAAAGGAGAAGTGATTCAAAGTGAGGATGAGCTCAGCCAAGCAGAGGAGGATGGTGTTGGTGGTGAGGATTGTGGATGGGATCAGTTCAGGCATTTGTTCGAGGAAGAAGCGGACCATCCTGATTGGTATTGAAAGTGTAAAGGGATTGCATGCTTGTGGTAAAGAGGGGACGTCTGGAGCCCGCAAACTGGAAATTCTGAAATTGACGTAAAGCATCAGAGGAATTGTAGATGTAAGTGGGAACGGGCTGGATGAGGGGAGAAAAAATTAAAGTCGAGGTAAAAAGAGCTGAGTTCTAATGGACAGAAACAGGTAGAAACAATGGTTTTGCCCAGGCAGTGCTGTTTGCAGATTTTGGGAAGAAGGTAGAAACTGCCTGTATGGGCTTGGGGAACTATGAGCTGGGAGGCTGTGTTGGGGAAGAGAGGTTGGTGACAGTCATAGACACGATGGCCTGATGTTCAGTGGTGGGGTCATGGTCCACGGGGCTGGCGCTCAGTCTCTGCAGTGTAGAGATCAGCACGCCAGACAACAAAAGCACTGCTCCTGTTGTCAAGGTTGGATTTGAGAGCACAGAGTGCAGTCGGTTCAAGGGAAGATAGGTTCAAATGGGTGATGGGAAATTAAGGCATTCAATGTCACATTGACAGTTCTCGATGAATAGTTGAGTGCTGGTAAAAGGCCAGAGGGAGTGACCATGTGGAAGGAGAGTATTGGAGGCAGGTGAAGGGGTCTTTGGGCTGGAGAGGAGACTCTTGTCCAAAGAAATATACATGAGGGTGACGGTGAAGGAAGAAGAGTTCAAATTCATGTTGTGCCCAAAATTCATTGAGGTAATCATTTCTGACCTTATGATGGAGGGAAGGTACCTATTGTGACAACTCAGATACTGAAGCTATGAGCGTCTTCAGCAAAACCGAATTCAACCAGCTCCTCAGTACATTTTAATAATTTACTGTTGCTGAATTCCTTACTTAGGAGCATCCTGGAGGTTGCAGTTAACCAGAAACTGAACTGAACTAGCCATAAAAATACTGTGGCTACAAGACAGGAAACTGAGTTAACTCTTGGCTCCAAAGCCTGTCTCCCATCTATAAGGCAGAAGTCAGGAGTGTAATGGAATAATATCCACTTACGTTGAATGAGTGCAGCTCAAGCAACGCTCAGAAGCTCAATACCATCCAGGACAAAGCAGCCCCCTTGTTCAGTACCTCATCCACCACCTTCCACATTCACTACCTTCATCATCAGCACAATGGTAGCAGTGTCTACTGTCTTCAAAATGGACTGCAGTAGATCAGCAAGGCTCTTCAGACAGCT